ATGCTCAGCATCTTTAATTAGCTTAGGGCCTTACATGACAGATATTTGTAATAAGGAATTTGGGGAAATGCGTTTTTGGCTATAAAGCTTTATTTACCCTTGTGCTTTCCTCTTGAGCCTGAACACTGTTAGCTCTCTAACATGTATGCCCTCACGATAAAGCGAGTGTACTCCACTGCCTTTAAGCTCCTTATTGGTCCATTTTTATCTAGGTCACAGGAATGATATTCCTTCTTTTTAATGGGTTTACAAGACCAGAATTTTTGTATCTTTAAGGCCATAGCATATCGTAAAGTTTCCAAGTTTGCTTTCAGGTTCTAAAAGCAACTTGGTGGTAGCATCTCAGAGATCTATGTGAACTTATTTAACCTGATGAAATGATGCTGTACTGCTGTGGCTAGATGGCTGTTATTATCCTACTGGTCTCATTTTGGAGAAAAGAAGGCTCGGGGCAACCTTATCACTTTCTACAACTACCTGAAAGGAGGATGGAGCCAGGAGGTGGCTGGTCTCTTCTCCCAAGGAACAAGGGGTAGAACAAAAGGAAACTGACTCAAGCTGTGCCAGTGGAAGTTTAGACTGGATATTAGGAACAATTTCTTCCCTGAAAGCGTGGTCAGGCATTGGAACAGGCTGCCCAGTGCAGCGGTGGATCTGAACCGTTCCCAGCAGCGTTCACAAACCGTGCAGATGGGTCCTCAATGACATAGTTTAGTGGTGGCCTTGGCAGTGCTGGGGAACAGTTGGAATTGATGATCTTAAAGGTCTTTTCTAATGTAGTTTATTCTATGACTCAATGATTCTAGGGTTTCTCTGTCCTACATGGAGTCTTCACCATAGACATTTTGTGGTGACTTTGCAGCCACTTTTCTGTGCCGAGCAGCAGATGTTAGTTTAGAGGAGGATACACTGCTATCTCAAAAGAAACGATCAATGCTTGACTATGCTGATATGCTTTCAGCATTCTTTAAGAAAATGTATAAGCACAAGCACAAGAAACTTGATTTCCTATACTTGCCTTAGGGTAGGACTTAAGTGAACACCACTGTCTATCTCCTCACAATGTCCAGATATTTTTCCTAGGAGAAAAACTGTGCACATTAGCAAAAGAGGAAATAGCACATTTGAGAGGATCCAATAGTCTGGACAAGGGGGGATCAGAACTGTAGAGTGCATAGAGCAACTCTGTTGTTGCTAAGTGCAGGCAAAAATGTTATAAATCATTATATCCCTGCTGATCTCAGTAATTCACACAAAACAAGGTTCTACCCCAATGTGCCCAATATTTCTGCTATGAGCTGGCAAACAGCCACATGTCCACTGAGGTAAAAAGTGTGTTTTATTTACCTATAGGGATTGTGGAGTCAAAATCAGTGCCAGTATCTGTTTAAGGGAGAACAAAATGAGCTTGTATGTAAAGTGACTGCATCTGTTGCAACAGCTATCACTTCACCAATGAAGTGATATGATTGGACAGAGGTGAGTCTGAAACAGCAGCAGTGAGTCAATATGAAAAAAGCCCTAGAAACAGCAATCTCTCTTTTAATGTAGGTGGGAAAAGGAGAGCTCAGGTTGGAGAATTTTTGGCTGTAAATAGCAATGATGAGGAAATGTTCACTGTGTTTGTTGGTATAGTCTAAAGCAGAAGATGAAACACCCTTTCCTTTCTCCATGAAAGGAAAGGTATGTTATATGCACACCTTCAGGCATAAATAAAAGGCCAGGTTGCCTTCTTGCGTAGGTGGAAATCAGGCATAACATTGCTGGAGCCACCAGAATTACACCAACATAAATTGTTTTTAGTGCCAGAATCAAGAACTGATTATTGATGACTGGTTAGCATACTGGACACTGACATATAGATTATCCTGACTTATTTTTGACTCCCTGAATTATTCTTGACCTCAGTGAACTGTTTCAAAGAACATCTTATATCCACTAAGTGGAAAAATTTTTCCTACTGAGTGAGGCAAGGCCTGGAAGATAACGTTTCCAACTTAATCACACATCTCACATGTTACGTAAATAAATGCTGTGTTAAACTAAGAAGTTGATTTGTAATTCTCTCAGAAAAGAAAGTTGGATGAGCAGCATCTGTATGTGTTGTTCTTTGTAAGTCCTGATAGATATCATACTAAAAGAAAGATGTGCCAATGAGTCCAGTTGAGCTCGCTCTTACTTCATTTGGGTATTGAAAGAAGCAAATTTGTATTTAATTATATTTCTGCCTTACTAAAAGCATGTTCAGAGAACTCTGTAAACAGATGAGGCCGTGAAGAAGGTCCTTGTACTTTCAGGTACTAAGATAACACTGCAGTATTTGAGTGTATTCTTTGGAGTCTAGAGGCAGAAAGAGAGCAGCTGGCAAAAAAAATGACATGAAACAATTAAAAAGTGGTTGAATGGCACTGTTCTTGGATAAAGCCAGAAAACAAGCAGTAGTTATTACTATAATACATTACTGCAGTGCTTAAAATTTATTTACTCCTATTAAACAAAAACAAATGTATGCTTTCAGTAGCTAAAGATCCTACTATCAAAACATAAGGTTGGTATGACTGAAATAGTTACTTTTTCAGAGCAGTAAATAAAAGAAATCTAGCTGGGAAGGAAAAATAGGCTGAAAATAAAATCTGCTAGTTGAAATAAATAAAAGAAAATTTAATAAATATTAATGAATGGAAGATTATCTGGCACCTTCTAATTCTCAATCAAATTTATCTAACACTGTTTTCAGAGGTACTTAATTGAAAGTGGAAAGTAAAAAGTGGGGAGTGTTTGAAAGGCTTAACTAAATTTTTGATTTACACATTTCAGGAGTCTGATGAAGGACCTGACTGGGATAAAATAAAAAACTTTTTTCCAAACAAATTTTCCTATGTGTTTGTATCCATTTTAGTGTGTGTTTTGTTTGTTTCTGTTTTGAGAAAGTAGTGTTGAAATAATGGCAGTGGAAAGCCAGACTGCTTTATTGTATACCCTGTGGTTCTGCAGCATAACCCTTATTAGAAGGCTAGTGTGTATATTATGGTATATGCAGATAAATAAGCCCACCAGAGTTTCTACTGGAAATGTCATGTGGATAGAGAATTGTAGAGGAGCAAGCTCTTTCTATTATTTATAATTACCTTTCACAAAAGGTGTTTGGTTTTGATCAAGAAGCTTAAATATTGAAAGCTTGATTAATTTCAGTTTAGAAGGAAACTGCAGTGCTTCATGTGAATTCTTCATCATAACAGTATTGTGAATGAAAAACTAAGGATCGCCAGGAGGGGGGATCAGAATGTGTTGTACCAGAGACCTTCAGCTGTAGAGAAAGACTAACCTATGGAGTTCTCAAAGTACAGACCTTGGTAGACATTGTGTCAGCATTTTTCAGGTAAAAATAATTTGGTTTCTAGTATTTACAAAAAAGTTTAAAAAAATCGAGCGAGGCTTTTACTGGAGTGACTCTACTATTCCTGTAAAAGTGAACAAACTGTTGATACATATGAGCAAAAAATGAAATACATATATGAGAGATTGTTGTATGAAATAGAGAGAGATGATAAAGTAGAAGGAAAAACAAACAAAAAAGTAGATTCATGATCAGGAGTGAAGCCTGCAGTAATAGCTTCTGTATTGTTCTTCTGTGCAGTATTAGCTTCTGTACTATTCTTCTGTTGATTTAACTTCTTTAACAGCATTCTGTTGTCTAGATTATATTTATATTTATTGCAAAATTGTGCTGGTGTGTCTAGATATGTATGTGTGTACATGTACACCTACATCCTTCATGTACTGTGTTGACCAAAGGGTGCATGACCATGTTATCAAAGACAAAACTATTTACATGTCAAGGACTTAGTGACATGCTTAGGTTCTCATGTAGTCTTTGATGAAGGGTGGACATGGGTGTATTTCACTGGTATGTGTTCAAACTGTGCATTGGAAGCAAACCCATTTCTACCTGTTTCTAACCAGCTGATATTTTAGCTGATGTCCTTCCTATGTTAGCCAGGAGATTCACTAGAAGCTACGTGGGCTTCATCTACTGATAAATCCCTAACCAAGGCAAATTTTCTCAGCTTCACTGTTTTCTTGAAATCTGGGTAAAATGAATGAGAAGTGGATGACTCAATCTTTTTTAGAAGCTGTAAAAAGTTTAACCACGAAAAGCCCTGACTGCAGTCTTTGAAATAATCTGTTTTTATAGATGTAACTTGTCAGTGAACAACTTCATCATGAAGCTACGTCAGGGAGGAGATTAGTAACTTGTAAGTACATGTATCAGCCACTGAACCATCTTGCAGACTATAGTAAAATGCTGCTGCAGGGCAGGTGAATTCATGGGCTCATTGTGGCAAGGGCCATGAGCCATACCACTGCTTGCTGCCTACTGCCCACATCCCCCACCTCTGGAACTAACCACTTCAAGAGAAAAACCCCTTTTCTTTTTCCCTCTTTTAAAGTATGATGTCTATATTCACTTATTTAGTGGCAAATAACTGTACAGAATACTCAACTGTAGCTAACCATGAAATAAAATGAGATAACGACGAAGCCACTGATTTAGGGCCATTAAGACCCATTATACAACCAGGGAGCTGTAAATTATTAAATATATAAATGAAGCCTCACACAAAGAAATCTCACGGTCATGCCTATTTAAGAAAATACTTGTAATGGTAGAGGGAATTCAGAGCTTCTGCACATCTGAAACTCCTTCATCTCATCCAACCCCCCTAGAGCCTATTCAGTTCAGAGTTCTTAATAATCAGAGCTAAGATATTAAATGTGAAGCCGTAAAACATAAACAGTGTCTACATCTGTGACTAAGATATAGGAAGGCAGAGCTACTTGATGAGCCCCTGATGTATACCACATACAAAAGCATCTTTAGTGCTGGTGTTATTCTGTAACTACTACAGGTCAAATAATTATCTGTAAATATGACTAGAGTACTGCTGCAATTCATGGTTCAGGACACAGCTTAATTCCTTATCAGCCACTCTTCTTACCTTCTTGTGTTTGTAATACTGTAGGCAGCCATTATGTTTCAGCACAAACCATCTCTTTCTCCAGCCCTTCAGTATTGCTGACTGTGTTCGTTTATGCAAATATCCTCGGCAGGTAGGTCTGGGGGTGTTAGGGTAACGGCTGATATCTGATCCCACTGTCATAGTCAGGATATCAGGGCCTAAAATATTACATGAAGAATGTGAAAACATAGGTCAAAACTATAATCCAATATGTCAGTATTTTTAAATACCCTTGTAGGTATGGAGCAGGAAGGCAGTCTTCTATCCCATATGCCCTTCTCTTCCCCATGTCACTTCTAGAAGCAGCAATGAGCAGAGCTGCCCAGAAAACAATGAATTAAATCAAACAACATTTGGCCTTCTTTTAACAGAAATTCAGGAATGAAAACATTTTTTGTGTTGAGGACTAGTAAGGGAGCCAACTATCTGAAGACACTTCTTAAAAAAACTATTGTGACCTACCTTTGCAAGCGGCATCTTAGGTGCTTATGTATTTTATCAGTTTAGGGAAGCAGTTGGATTTCATTGCTAAAATGAGTATACACAAATTAAGTCTTAGAGACAAATTTCTGAGAATGTTCTTAGGGGCATCTTCAGTCTCTATTATCTTACATATGCTCCTGAGAATTCTTTCTTGCTCATGTCTACTAACCTTTTGTGCTATCTGTGCCCCTCAGTGAGGGGCTGTTGGAAGCTAACCTGTGCTAAAGTGTTTACTTATAATTTGCAAAAAGTAAGTGCTCAAAGGAGATGTTAGGTTACAAGGCTGTCTAAAATATGCTATTTTTATCAGCAATGAGGTACAATTTCATAATATTTGCTGATGCTATCAATGCATCTAAGGCTTTGACCCCAAAGGCCTGAAATTCTGATTATATCAGATATTACTTCAGAGTGTCAAAGCCTTAAAGAGGATCGAGAAATTTAGCTATGACACATTTCCATTTGCAAGACTTTTGCAGGATTTCTCCTTTAGGGACAGCTGACTTTGCAAATGCTGTCCGCGTGTCAAGATTTAGGCCACAGGGTGTTCTCTGAGGAGTTAAAAATACCTAATATTCAGAGATCTACCTACTAAAAGACTTGACATACTCTTAAATATAATAGTGTGAATGACACCTCTATAATTAAAGAACTTGGTATGTGTCAAGTTAAATTTGTTGCTTTCTTGTAATTTGAATTTATTGAACTTCCCATCAGCCCTTGTCAAAACCATATTTGCGATAAACAATGTCACTAGATTAACTTTCAGCATGCAAATGTGTATCTTTGGGGTTTAGTTATCACGATTCTAGGAAGAACACACACAACTGATATTACTGACTCCTTGTTTCTGGGTTGCCGCAAAAGGATGTCTTATGAAATAGCCTCTCTGATCTCCTGTCTAGACTTCAGGTCTTGGCATGACAGAAAGAACTACTGGGTGCACTGAATCAAGCTGTGAAGTCTTTCCCTGAGGAAGCATAAGGCGTAAATAAGGTATTGGTGTCTTTGCAGTCTCTTGAAGGACTTTCTCAGTTGCTTTCTTAAAGGCAGGAGGGACAAAAGTTGTCTCTGCCCATGGCAGAAGGGGTGGAACTAGATGATATCTAAGGTCCCTTCCAACCCAAAATATTCTATGACTCTATGTGCTCTTTGGGGAATATTCTGTATGTCTGTTTCCTTCTATTTTCCTAGGACTGTCTAGATAAAAATGTGATTTAGGCAATAATACTGTATTAAATATTAATGCATTAAACTGTTAAGATTGCTGTTGTATCCGTCACCCAACTCGTCTGGATGTATTTGGATCACTTTACAGAAATCCTGACCCATCTATGTTATATACTGTGATCTCAAACTAACCTTTCCTTGCCAGATTGGCAGCTTCAGAATGTGGCATATTGGTGACATCAGTTCCATTGACTGCTATCAGAACATCCCCAACCTGAAGCCCTGCTTCTTCAGCTGCACTGTCTGGAATAAAAAACAAAAAAAAAGACAACAAAAACCAACCAACAAACCAAATCTTTTTACTTAAGAGTTAGGATATCAAGTATGTCTATATGATCAAGCTTTTCTAGCAAAACAGATGTCTGTCCAGCCAGGCAAGGATAATGCTTTGGGGCCTTTGACATGTGAACTTAGAGGTCCAGAAAGTTTTTCTGAGCAACCTATCAGTCACCTGTAAATAAAACTTCAGGGTCAATGTCAGTGGAGAAATTCCATTAAAGATGCCATTAGGACTTAAATGCTTTAAGATGCAAACAGGCATTTCAATCTGAGGGTTTTGTCCTAAAATGCAAACAAATATCTGGTGCAATGTTCAGTAAAGTCAATAGAGAAAGATTTTATTATTCTGCTGAGTTTTGGATTTAAGGCCAAAAGACTACTTTCTATGCTGATGTTTCTCCTGCTGGTTAAAATAATTAAGCTATAATATTTTGTGGATTTTTCCTGTATGAGGAAATAACATATTATATTAACAAAGGATCAGTGAAGGAGGCATTGACTCAGATTTATTATATCAATCTTTTGTTTATTTGTTGACTGTTGTAGAGCACTCCTAATAAAATAGGGCTCAGGCAGATGCCAGTAGAAATACAGGCAAGCTGGGGAAGTGAGCAGCATTACAGTCACTAAAATCCCAGTTGCAGATTTCATGGACACATTTTTTTTTCCTTCTCATTTATAATTAAGCATTCTGACTGCACTTTGAAAAAAATGTTTTGAAAATTATTGCTCCAGGTCTATACTATTTAGTGAATATCTTTAAAGATTTTCTGCCCATGCAGCAAATGTGATCATTCAGTATATTCTAAGAATCCTTAGAAGTTGTATGGAAGAGATCAGTAAATAAAAAAAAAAAAAAAAAAACAGACACAAAAAAAGACATGGTTCACCTTCCTGTGTATTATAAATCATTTGCAAATTTGCAAATGCTAGAACATTTTGGTTTGCGCTGGTCTTGAGGATCTCATACAAGACTTCATGATCATAAGTGGTCTTTAAAACATTAAAATAATGTCTCAGTGTGCAAGCAGCAAAGGATAAAAGTGCAATTTTTATATCTGTTTTAATAAAATTGTTCATATTTTGAGAAAAAGTTTTATATGAAGTTTATCTTTAAAAGAAAGAATATTATTTTTGTTGTTGCTATTTTAAAGCAACTGCATTGAAAAACATAACATACAAATAAAGTTAAGAGGAGTGATATACAATATAATTAGCTCTATTTAACTAGTAGGTTACAGGGTTATATTGGTAATTACTAGGACCAATGTTGCATGCATGACTTATGATTTGTTTATATTTAGGTAAAAAACTTTTGCACCTTCTAATTTGAAAGATCTCTTCTGAGGTTATACTCTTTGATGTAAGAACACTAAGGGAATCTGTATGTTTGCAATTGAGAAGTAATCTAAAACTCTTAATGCTAGAAAGAAGGAAGATCTCTTTGCAACAGAGATAACTTTTTATCAATAGGTGCTGAAATTCCCAACTGACAATAACAGATAGTCGTCCCAGCACACACACATCATCACAGTTGTGCTATTTAGACAAATGATAGTTGATTCCAGTTTTTTTTTCTCAAAATCATCAGCAACGAATGATAATGATCTTTAAACCTGTAGTCAAAAGTAACATTCTAATAAGATAGGCAGAACAAGTTTTTTTTCATTCAAAATTACTTTCTCAGATTCACTTAAATCACTTTTCACATGAGACATGCTGTGAATACTATGAAGTCTGAAGAAATATTAAAAAAAATAATATTCTGGACTAAAATTAGGCAGATGTTTCAGGATGAAGAATATTACATAGCCACTTCAGCAACAATTTAGTCTAAGTCCTTTGTAGAGGATTCTGCTGGGAAAGGTTGTTTTTTTTTGACTTACATTATTGGCAAAGCTTCAGTTGAGAATGGAAATTCCTGATTGCATTCAGGCATGTATAAATACATGATAATCTCTAGGATACAGGTCAAAATCATGTTTATTTTAATGTAGTTTACAATAACATATCCTTTGATAAACAGTAAGTATAGCCATATAGAAAGTAAAACAACCACTTTCAACATTTTCTTGTATTTCTTTTGAATAGGTCCATCCTTTGCCTGAGTTCTGATTTTGGATGGAGGTCTTTATTTTTAGTATTCAATAAGTAGAATATTTGCTGAGGCAACAAGTTAGAATGACTTTTAGAACCGAACAGTAGCATCATGCAAAAAAGCATGACTGTGGTATAAATCTAAATATCTTGAGATCTTAAGGGATGCATGGCTTTCTACCACAAGCCTTAGAGCTGTAAAGTGTTAGTAAAGTTGTTGACCTTTAGAATGGTTTGGGTTGGAAGAGACCTTAAAGATCATCTGGTTCTATCCTCTGCCATGAGCAGGTACACCATCCACTAGACCAGGTTACTCAAAGTCACATCCAACAAAGACCACTGCCATACTAAATGAGCCATACAAAACCAACAACAGTTCCACCCCAAAATGGTTGGGAAAACTCCAGTGAAGACTCTAAAGAACAGGTTAGATGGTTCCTGTCTAAAATGGTTTAGGCATAGTTGGTCATGACTTAGGGCAAGGAAAAGGATCATGCAGCCTTAGAAGAAACACAGCATCCCTTTCCCAGGTGGTCCTGGGATTAACCTTGTTTACATCTCTTTTCAGAGATCTATTTTGCTTTTTCTCTGTGTGTTTCTCCTTTGCTCAGATTTCTGACTTTTCTGATCTTCCTTAGAGGAGTTTAATTATGACCCTATTTAGTAGCTCAGGAAGCAATTTTTAAAGTGGTGGGTTCAGCTAATGGATTCCCAGGACTCTGAATTCACAGGCTTTAACAGTGATGTCAGGAAGCTGGACAATATAATACATCAGGCTGGTAAAGTGACGGAGCTATTCTTAGATGCCTTGCTAGAGGGCATGCAATAGCATTCTTGGTCTAGGATGACATTTTTCATTATAACAGAATGAAAAAAATAGTAGTAGAAATCTATCAGACTCTGCTGTACCTTCTTCTCCTCTAAATCTGTTGTGCCTGTCCTGAGATGCAGAGAGAAGCACAGCAAGCAATGCTCTAGATTTGGGTTTTAAGTAACAGCAAAATGACTCTGACTGCCTGTGTCTCATTTTCACTGCTGTTACTGACAGAGATCTTTTACCCAGATTTCAAAGCTGCCACTGAACACAGAGAATGATTTCAGAGGTCTTTCAGTGGTGACTCAGATCTCATTCCTGAGCATAACTGCCAATACCTTGTTTTCCGTCATGTACACATGGTATAGGTAATTTCTAGAGGCATTATCTTACTTTGAATCTTCGTTGAAACTCATCTGCCACTTTTTTTCTCACTCACTCAGGTTTTTGAGTTTCTTCGTGAGCTCCTTGTAATCATCAGACTACCATGCAGAATTAACACTACACTTGTTAGCAGTTATAGATGGTTCGATGGAAACCCATCCGAGCAGAAGTGTCCTTAGCTAATACAGCTTTTGGAAAAGTTGCTATGAGGATCACTGCACCTTCCATTTCATTCTTAAAGGTCTGTTATTAACAGACCTCAGTTCCGCAAAGTTCTAGACTTTTACATGTGGAGTGAGGCTGGATGCAGACATCTGCATAAGGTATCAACTGGCATGGAAGGACACAGAACAGTGAGTCTGGTTAACCTACAGGTAACTGGGGCCTTCAGATAGTTTGTCATGAGCAGTTTAAGGACATGCTTTTAAACACCTTACACCCACTAATTAGGGAAATTATTTATGTACATCTATATTGTATATTATTATAAAACATGATCTATATTAAGTAGATAATATGATATCATATACAGTATGATATAACTTCTCTATATGGAGAAGTTAACTAGCACAAACACAACTTACTTGTGTCAACTTCAGTCACAAGGATAGGCTTTGAGAACTGGATCCTGAAACCCCAAGGGTAATTGCCAGTTCCTTTAGCAATCTTCACAGTTCTTTCACGGACTGCAAAACAGGAAAGACATCCCTTTTTCTCTACTGGTCAAGTTCAAATTAACAAGCAGCGTCTGATTTTAAAACTTTTTCTCTACAGGCACTGACAGTTCCAGATTCTGCAAATGGCTGGGATGGTCTTCATTTTTTAAATTTAGAAGGCCTCTATCCTTTGGATACCAATTGTTTCTTTCCCTTCCATTTACCCTCCCCTGTTGACTGCCTGCTGCCACTGACTCCCCAGTCCTCTAGTGCAACCCCCCACCCCACTGGCATCACCTGCAGTCAGTGGCTGTACCCATGTGAAATGTCTTTCATGTCATTTTCAAGTCATAAAGGTAAAGGGATCACGCTCAGTAAAATAGGAAGATCAGGGTCTAATTGCCCATTTCCAAGTTTTTCTTAGGGTCTAGTATTATTACCATGCCTCAAATGGTCTGACTCACTAGTAAATCTTACGCTTATGAAGGACTTCAGATAAATTTGAATTCTCAGTGTGTCTGCCTTTGATCATTTCACTGTCTTATTGTGTTTGTTTAACGGAGACAAAATTTATAACAATTTATGACAGCTGTTTTGACTTCAAATTGTGTTCTGTTTGGAAGATAGGAATTGCTTTAAAGGATATAAATCCTTTAAATTTAAAGGATAATAGTAGGCCAATTGACGTTATCTGTCTGAAAGAGTATACGTACTTCAATGCCTATTTTTACTATCTTGTTGCACTTCTGAGCTCTCCCCTGGGAAGAAGGGGCATTCAAAATGGCTCTCCAGAATACTCTCATATATTTTAAGGGAGATTTTTCATATCTGGAGATTTATAGAGGACAACTGTTTTCTCTCATATAGTGAATGACAGATGAGCTCCAGCAAAGAACTGCTTTCTGAAAGTTATAGGTGTCTTTTGGTTTGTCTTTGTTGTTTGAAATGTGTTACTTTTCAGCAATTTAACATTAGAAAAGTGAAGTAAAACTTGCCATCACCCTACAAAAGTTAGTCACTGTATCTATCTGTATGACAGGGTTTAAATGACAAATAGAACAACACTTCATACCCCTAACAAAATTGATCTTTTTTCTTTTTGGATCTACTATGTTTGAAAGCTAGATGGGCAACAGATTTTAGGACTATTATAATACTTTAAGTCCATAAATAGCTACGAATTTGTCATGCTTGAAGAAGTTACGAAATTACATTGCTTGTACTGTTATAATGAGGTTTAATCGTGAACTTTTACCACTATCAGTTTTGTCAAGAAATTATGACATTTTGCAAGAGAGTGCTTAATTAGAACTACTTTTTAATGTTTTTTTATAACCTTTTAGATTCTTGAGTTGCTCTTTTTCTCTTCTTCAGCATAAGCATCCAGTGTCTTCTCCAAAATGCTGATCCCCTGGAATCCTCAGAGTGCCCCAAATAAACACATTTTTATGACAATTATTAATTACCTTTTGCTTTAGACAACTTACTTGCCACTGGTCTAGGCCTTTTGCTGAGACATCTAGGACTATTATCTGGAGAGACATCATCTCCTCTGAAAACCCAGGAAGCAGAATGAAAGTTTTCTGTATAAAACCCTCCGTCCTCATTTTCAGAATGTAGTCCCACATCTACTGACCGAGCATCCTCTGAATTTACTGTCATGAGGATAAACCAAGTAAAAGTAATGTCAGCAGGGAAAATGCATGAAGAATACTGGATCTCAGCCAGTCAGCATGGAATAAATGTGACAAGCTTCTTAATGAACTGCTTGTAATGTCTGTACATAGTTCTGCAATTTTGCTGCTTCTAAAATGGCAGTCTGTAAAGATATACAAATATTAGATCACAATATTGGATGTTACTGTGTATTGAACTTGAATGCCACATGAAGTCTTAATGAAAATAGGAAAAGCAGGAGCTGCACTTCTTTAAGAGAAGTTTGGCTTTATCCAACCATTAAGCTTTCTTATGCAGCCTATTTTATTTGGAAATCAAATAAGTTTTCTAGAAGTTTAGAATGAGTTCAGTGCATATGAGAAGACAAAAGAGAACCTAATAAGCAACTGGCATGACTCAGGCAATGATGACCGTATGTGCTGTTTGCCTAATCTTAGCTCTTCCAAATGTGTTTGTTTACTTTTTATTAAAAAGGAGGTGAGGAAATAAAGTTGGGTTTCCATTGGGGGTTTTTGTTGTTGGGTTCTTCTTTTTCGTTTGTTTGTGGGTTTTGTTTCTTTTCAATATAGAACTTCTGGCTTGTCCTAGGCTCCTGAATATTTGTATGATCTTACATGTGTTATGAGGAATTTAGGTTGGATGGACAGTGAGAGTGCACCCTCAGAAAGTTTGCCTATGACACCAAGCTGTGTGGTGGAGTCAACACACTGGAGGAAAGGGATGCCATCCAGAGGGACCTTGACACGCTTGAAAGGTGGCCAGTGCCAACCTCATGAAGTTCAACAAGGCCAAGTGCAGGGTCCTGCATCAGAGCTGGGGCAATGCCAAGCACAAATACAGGCTGGGTGGAGAATGGATTGAGAGCAGCCCTGAGGAGAAGGACTTGGGTTGTGTCTGAGGACAAGTGTTGCTTGCTGAGAAGCTCAGTGTGCGCTTGAGCCCAGAATCCCCCCATTTGCTGGGCTGCATCCCCACAGCATGAGGAGCAGGTGAAGGGAGAGGATTCTTCCCCTCCACCTTGTTCGCTTGAGACCTCCCGCTGCTGTCCTGCATCCAGCTCTGGAGTAGCAACACAAGAGGGAGGTGGAGCTGCTTGAACAAGTAAAGAGGAGGCCACGAAGGTGCTATGAGGGCTGGAGAAGCTCTGCTCTGGAGATAGGCTGAGAGAGCTGGGCTGGTTCAGCCTGGGGAAGAGAAGGCTCCCTGTGCCTAAAGGAGATGACTAGAAATCTGAAGAGGGGCTTTTGACAAGGGCCTGTAGGGACAGGACAAGGGGAGTGGCTTTAACCTGACAGAGGGGAGACTGAGATGAGCTCTTAGGCAGAAGTTCTTCCCTGTGAGGGTGCTGAGGCCCTGGCGCAGGTTGCCGAGAGAAGATGTGGCTGCCCCATCCCTGGCAAGAGTTCAAGGCCAGGCTGGACAGGGCTTGGAGCAACCTGGTCTAGTGGAAGGTGCCCCTGTGGCAGGGGGTTGGAACTGGATGAGCTTAAAGGTCCCTTCCAGACCAAACCAATCTGGGATTCTATGATTCTATGCTTTTCAGATTCATATTTCATAGTAATTTACATTTATAATATCTTGCAATGAGTCCACAGGGTAAAACCATGTCACCCAGATTAACACAGAGGTGGAGTGGAGCCCTAATTCTCTGCTAAAGGAGAAAGCAGTAATCTTCAGGCTCACAAGGAAATAGGACAGCAGGCCACTGGCGTGTGACAGGCAGGCTATAAACACCAGTCTGACTGTAGAGAAGAAAGGTATGCAATAGCATGACAATTTCCCAAGCAGAGTGGGAGCTGGAACTTCAAAGATTAAACTGGATGGTGAAAGGTATATAAAGGTATAAACCATCAGTCTACACTAACAGACTGAAAAAAATCCTTAGTATACATTGTCTGAGAAGTAAAAAACAAATCCCATTGCTTTCAGTACAAAATGCCTGGTATAATGCAACTAGATTTAATGCTGCTGGAGAAAGAATCTGTTTATCCTGTGTTTGATGGTGCAATTATGCAGAATGAGTTGTTGTTTCAAAACAGAAAAGATAAAAATTAACCTTTATTTAGTTTTGTTCATCAAGTTACTTCCTCAAAACATCTAAATGGCAGTCTTTTTTTGACTTTGACAGTTTTCTTAACTGTGCCTGTGTAGACAAATACTCCATATCCACTCATTTCTCCCTTATTATGCAGAAAGTACAAGATTCCATGATTTACTGTATGAAAAGCTACTGTAAATAAACAAAAAAAACCCAATAAAAATATTACTCGGTTGTTGTGTTTAAAGTACATCTTAGCTTGCTACCATGAATTTATAAATTAAGCAAATCTAGACCAACACCAAGCAATTAAGAGCAGCACAGTGTTTTGCCAGTTTAATATTGAACTATTATAATTGTAGCAGAGGTTAAAATCTGTCAATATGCAAATAGATGTGAAATAGATGTTGCCACACTGGCATTATGGCGTTATGAGAGAAGTTATGAGTTATGAGACAGTTGTCTCAGGCCTGTAGCATACAATCCAAAATTATTAGATACTATGATTTGTGACAGAATTGTCTGTTCACTCACCTGTTCTGGAGACCACTTCAGGTTCATGCCATGTGCCACCAAAACCTTTCTGTCAAGGAAACCAATTCTAACTCTTGCAACTTTTTTTATTTTTTTGTGTGTGTGTTTTGGTTTTGTTCGTTTCTTTTTTTTTTTTTTCTTTCAATATATTTTCTCTGTGAAACTGGTGGGTGTCTCATGTATTAAAATTCATGGACCAACTCTGCATTCCAGAAATTACTGTTGGAATCAATGAACAGTTTATTCTGGTGTATGTATCCCTTGACAGCTTGTTTGAGCTCTGGTGGTTTGAAATGGTAAATTTCTCATCTTGCTGTCAGCTTGAACCTGTCTTAGGGGCAAAGAATGCAAACTGCTACCAGTAAACAGCCTTTTCCACATGAACTGTCAGTTATCTCTGCTGCTTTGTTAACAGGCATGAAAAACTTAGCGATTGACTCAGTTATCTGAACATAGGTGGCTAGTACCATATTAGATGGCCTCACCTGCCATCCAGTTGCTGCTTCAAAAAGGCATGGTCTGCAGTAGTCACATATCTTAGAACCCTATAGGCATTCCAGCTGGCAACTGACACCTATGTTTAGATAGTGAATTGAGACCCTGCTGAGGTAGGACCTTCAGTACAGGAACAGAACATATTTACAGTTATCTCATACTGGACCTGCACTGAAATCTTCTATAGGTTTGTATTTAACCTTCTTTAAAAAGGAGACTTTACACCTATAAATAAAACTTCCACACCAAAAGTAACCATTATAGCACAAAATATTTCCACAGGGAAGTGCACAGTTCTTGATCTGGACAAAGTACTTCTTAGTACTTCTTACATTACTAAAATAGTAAAACAGGAGGCAAAGACGTTGTGAAGTAAAAAGTACCCCGTATGTTCTCTCCTAGACTGCAATCCTTGCTTGGGGACTCCATCTGCATGAAATGGAAATTCATTAAGCAGTACATCTTTAAAATTCTTTCCCATGCAATTTAAGCTGATGAGTTTGGTACAGGCTCAAGCATATGGTAAGGTGACAGATTTCTTAATGAGACAGTTATTGGAATAACTTTCAGTAACTGGAGGGACAGCAAAGAACAATCTAGGCAACAAGCCTGAAGATACAAGGTGAAGTAGGTGGTTATCTTAGTGAGCAGAGGACTTCCAGCTCACCATGGCTTTGACATAAGCAAAGTAGGCATCAGGATTATGATTTTTGTTACACCCTCAAAGCTACTACCATAAGTGATTACCTGCTTGTCTGTGCCTAGAGCTTGTCTTAACAATTAACTGCATATGGACAAGGATGATACAATCAACTTTTTTTCAGTCGGATTGTTTACATAAAGAAGAGTGGATATTGAGAAATAGTTCAATTCAATAAAATATGCTTGCTCATGACAGTGAGTAAGAAAGGGACTCAGGTTATGAACTGAAGATTAATTTCTCCAGCTGAAAACCTGGTCAGACTGTCAATCACATGGAGAAAGAATACAATCCTAAAACTAAAATACTCACTTGATCCCTCAGTGATTGTGCTGTTTATGGAGCTTCCTCCAGTTGAACTGCATTTTTTGCTGTCTTTGAACTGTTTCCGTCTTCTGGCCCACTGGTCTATTGCTTCTTCCTGGGAACTATCACTGGCTCTGGTGTCTTTCACCAAAGGTAGCTTTCTGGTTTTATTCATTTCTGATTTCAAGTCTAGATTATAATCAGACATTGTGAGGAATGTGTAAGAGAACTTAAGCAATAATACTGTTAAAAACTTCTGCAGTCTAAATACAAGAATAATCTAATCATAGAAATGAAAATACCAAAAAATACCTAATACATTCAGAAAGTTTATATTTTAAACTGAGATCTTCATGCACAGAAAAAGCATATGTGATTGCCTTGTGGCAGTTGTATCTGTAGGTAAATGCCTAAATAGCCATTTGTATGGCACCCTTTTCACACAGAAACACGTAAACTGCGCACAGATTTTATATAAAAATGTTAATACATTTTCATTTATTTATATATATATATTTTGCAGTGGTCAGGATGCACATATATCAAGTGATACTTAAATATTAAAAGTCTTGCAAGATACACGTGTCACTGAGCTCTTTTCCCAGGGCAGCTGACTTAATGAGACTCAGGAAACCAATTTCTTGTAGTGTCCTTTGCATGAGTCCTTGCCCCTCTGATAATAATAAAGTTCTCATAAGACCAGCAGAATTCTAGATTGCCTGACTCCCCACCCCCATTCTGTTTGCAACATTTGCATCCATTTTTCTCCTCTGTTCTGGGTGCTCTCACTCATTGTTGAAAAGCCACATTTTCTTTCCAGTGTGACTGAATTACCAAGCACAGGAAGTCCTACATTGCACCTAGTGTCAAATGTCTTGACTAAGTAGGTTGCTATTGCCACATTACAAGTGGCAATATATTTGATTCATATAATGAGTTTTAAAACTCTGAATGCTGATATTTCTTTTTGGATGTACACATTTACGTATTTAAGGCAGGACCTCCCTAGCACTGCTAAGAATAACAGATGGAAAATTAAAATATTATCATATGGCTAAAGTTACAGGCCAGATGAGGTGATGGGTGAGAAAAACTCATTGATAATTCTTAGCAAAGGGCAAAAGGGAAGAGGAGAAGATAAAATCAAAATACACCTCGCTTCTGTGATGTATGTTTATCCACAGATGTCTAACATATGAGAAGCCAAGGATTTTAGCATTCAGGCTTCCTTTGGGGTCTTATTTCTATACCTTGTTCTAAAAAGAACTCTGTTTAAGTAACACTCTATTTATTTTAGTGTTTTAGATTTTGATCTGTATAGCAATATCTACCTGTACAGTATATCTATATAGTCTATATAGACCAGGTATTTTTGAAATTTCGATTACTAGTGCCAGCCAAGAAAACGTTGGAGGACATAGCAGCATTTTCTGCAGATATCATGAACTACAAAGATTGTTAAAAACTTTCATATGCTTTTTAATAAGATTTGTGAAGGCATTTTCCCATGATAAGAAAGCAAGTTTTTTTTTTTTACCAGTATAAAACCCCTAATCTGCAAACCTGCTGCAAACATTCCCTTATGGAGAGGACAATCTGCATTACATTCACATATAACTTGATTAATATTAAAAAAAATAAAATTAAAGTGTTTGGAGCAATATTTAAAAACCACATACATATATATGTGTGTGTACATATTCACAATGTAAAAAGCTAACATTGTAGCATGCAGTGTCCCTGTACAGCTTTACATTTTTATGATTCAAAACACTCCTTTTAAAGACTAGTCATGGATATGGGTAGATGGATTACAGAAGAGAATAGATTTTCTAAAGGATTAGCTATTAAAAATAATTCTTTTTTCATATGCAGTTTTCTTAACTACTTAAGGCAGGAGAAAAGAAGTTTAAATGATACACTAAGGTCATTCCATGACATTTAAAGGCTTAGCCAGAATTAGGACTGAGATGTACTTAGAATTTAGTATTTGCTTTTAGATCACATGGATTCCAAAAACAGATCTATGTGGTTTTAAACACTGACTAGAGCTCTGAGTTCATGCACAGGGCAACTTCAAAAAAAACCCCTCCTGTTTCATTGCTTGCTTCTTTCACTAGATGTGCAGGGTGAGTTGACTGATGTAGGAAACCTACTTCTTGAGCAAAGCTGTATTAAAATTTTCTTTTTTATTTAGTATTTAAGTTACTTGGCTCTACAAGATAGCTGCTAGGATCCTTAACACAGTAACTGCTTATTATAACCAAATGTCCAAGTATACCAACATTATCTCTTTGAAAGACTGCAATATACTTTCATTTTCCCACAAAAGATGTCACCAAAGGACTAAACCACCTATGTAAATGATACCAACTTCAAAAGTCTTATAACACGTACCTTTCTGACTAATATTTTTTAGTGATGATGGGGGGATATCTGCATTCTGATGAAAATCTTGTTTCATTTCAGTCTTTCTCTCAACTTCATTAGAGCTGGATTTGGCTAACTGAGGCAGTTGATGTGCTCCAGGCTCTCTCCTTAAGCTATCATCAGTTGACTGTTTACAGCAAATGTTCTCTTGTCTTTCCTTGGCATTTGAATGTTCTGTGAAATTCTCCTTGTTTTCTGTATATGCTGAAGGTGTAGATAAAATGGCATTCGCTGCTGAATCATTATAGCAATCGGAGTCAACAAGGATATTCACAGATACATCTTGCGTCTCAGAAAAGCTTTCTGATTCATTATTAATGTCATGCTCCTCAGGATATAATAACAAGGATGACAGCAAGGAATTTTCATCTATACTACAGGAAGGTTTAGGCTCCTTTCTCACTGCAGAGCCAAAAGAATCAGGTATCAGTTTATTCTCGCCTTGGACAAGTCTTCGTTCTAGACCTCCATTTATCACGGTCATTACTGACTCTCTCCTTTTTTTTGCTACTTCAGTCTCTGCAGTGGGTGGGTATAAACCTGAAAGCTGGTTATGAGCACATTCTGTAGATGTGCAATTAGTACTTTCCTTGCCACTAATACATTCACCTGAAGGGCTTCTAGAACATGGAGAGATCTGTATCAGCTGAGCTTTGTTCTGCAATTCCTTGTGCTTTTCTAGATGGTTGTACTCTGGTGTCCGTTCATCTAAAGCGTCTTCAGTAGACTCAGAGTCTTCCTCCCATATGGCCAGGTTTCTCAGAAGTTCTTCATGCTCATTTTCTTTTTTCTTGTTTACAATACCACTGGAATGAAGACTCTCCATTAGAGTTTCTTCACCTTGCCCCACATAGCCTGCAGAGTCATTCAGTAAACAAGTGTCACCTAGGCTTTCCTCAGGTTCAGATGCATAAATGGTAATATCATGATCAAATGACGTGAAGGCATAATGATATGAAGACATAAGACCTTGCAGGCTTCTCAGTGAGGAGGTCAAGTCAGGACACTTACCAAGTTCTGTATAGCTAGTGTGAACAAGTGAGTTCTTGTTATTAACATCTGCTTTGGTCTCCTTAGGAAATACTTTTAAGGATGGCAATGAATAAAACCCAGAATCCCTTCTAGGGTGCACTGGTGATGGTACATCAAAGGTAGTATCTGGGAAAGACTTTCTTCTTCCTGGTTTTTGCCCTATATTTCTACATTTATCACAGTTTTTTATTTTTTGACCTAATATATTGTTCTTACTGATATTCTTCCCAGAGTTTGGGTTATTCCAAGTATTACTAGCTACAAGACAATTTGTATTATCTATTTTTGAGAAAAGTATTTTGTCTTTTGAAAAATCTTCCTTTTCACTGCTGTGCTCTCCACAGTCCTTTTTGTTATATTTACAGAAATAGCTTTCTTCCTCGAAATTTTTCAAGGCTGGGGAGAGGATGTCAGATTCTTTTCTGTCACTAATAGGGTACAAAGATACTCTCTCTGCAATTGTATCCAAATGCGTTTTGTCACAGTCAGCAAACTCCTGAGGTGGAGGGAGAAGTGTACATCCATCTAGGAATGTATAGCCTACTTTTTCACAGAAGCTAAATGACTCACAATCTGTATTGCGATGCACCTCTGTTACAGAATAATCTGTTTCACTCCAATATGTGTCTTCGTGTTCCCTGTTGCAGGGTTTGCTCTGTGCCTGTTCACCCGGTTTGATGCTAACCTTTAGGTTTTTCTTTCTGTTGGTAAATTCCACTTCAATTTCCTTTGTGTCAATGGTCAATTTCAGGGAGGCATTTTTGTGGACATCAGTTTGAATTTTATGTTTAGAGGATCCCTTATATTGCTCACTGTGTTCTGCTGAGTGGTCAGTTAAAGGGCACTGGTACTTTGAACATTTTGAACACTGGCTTTTCTGGTATTGCCTTTCATGACAATCTTTATTGTTCTTTGAACTTTTCTGTTTTCCAGCTACAAGATTTGTTCCAGAATCAAACAAAGAAACGTTCTTAATTTCTACTTTGACACTAAAAGAACCACATTTTACTTCTGCAGTAATTTTCCCAGTAGTCGAGCTAACCAGCTCTGCAGGGTCTGGCTTGCCCCATAGTGTAATTTTTCCTGTGGATGAGCCCTCTGATTCACCAAAAGTGACTGTAGTTAGGATCTCATCTTGTTGAGGAGAGAACATTTGAGGAGGATAGTTCTTTTCTTTCTTTCCTTCTTTTTCGCTGTCTGATACATTATCAAGGTCTTTATCTTCAGATGCATCCGAGCTACTCTGATTCTTGTTTTCATGATTTTTTCCATCTTCTTCAGTACCCTTTACGTCCAGTGGCTCAGTGAAGCAAGCCAGAGCCTCATCTGCTTTATTTTCAAGGCTTCCTACATTTTGTTGGCATTTACAAATGGGTGACAACTGTTCATCTAGTTTAAGGTAAACAAGAGAAAAAAAAACCAACACAAAACATTTTTCCTATAATTTGGTAAGCACTATCACAAATGTATGATAATCTTTGAGACATTTTTTCTTAAAAATATCTGTTTTATTTTTAAGGTGTAGTGTATTTTTTACATTTTTTTTTCATTTCAATATTAACTTCTCTTGTTTTAATTATCTGATGTAATCAGATGAACAGGGCAGGCCATGTTAACTCACTCTGATCGGAGGAAATTAATATATTAAAAACTCTTTTTTTTTTTTTTCTCAGAAAGTTTTACAGTTGTTAGGGGATAAGGTATTCTATTTGCATGTAGAAAGATCTATTCCTTTTACTTCCGTTACTTCTCTCAGTATTTACATTGTTCCTGTGAAGGCACTGGCGCAATCAGTATCCCAGTGCACGTTTGCAGTTTGGGTAAATTACATGGAACTTGACTTTTATAATAATTTTACAGATGAGTAAACAGAGGGGTTAATGGATCTTATCACAATCATGTAGCATATCAGTGGCACACTGACAAAGGTGTGAACCACAGTTCCCTGTTCCAAGAAGGATTATACTGTTTCCTGGTGGCAGCTGTACTAGGCAAGATTCCATGGCATTTATACAATCACATAAAATTCTGCTTTGCTTAGGCTTTTTTCTTTTAGAATAGGTTATATGCATTAGAGGATAACAGTATACAGTAACATCTACCTAAGTAAGATTAGACAACTTAGACAACATTGAGACATTTACACCAAGAGTGCTCAAAATTTGAGGCAATTTGACATCAATGTATTTGGAAAGACTTTGCCAGAGATAGCGGCTCAGCTAAAATAAAGCAGCTAGCTGCATCAAGACGTTACCTGTATGTACCCACACATAACTGTAAGTATTTCCAATTTGACAAAATGTTTTGGGCACAAAGATGGATTTCTGTCTTGATGAGTAAATGGAGTGCAAGCACCTATGATTCTGATGTTTTTATTTCAGAATAAACATTTCTGTAAACTTACATTCTCTGGAATCAGAGCTCTTTCTGCCCTTGCAGCTTTTTCTTCTTTTTCTACTCATTTCTAAGAACTGAGGGCATCTGGGCTGCACTCTTCTGTGTGGGAGGGAAAACATTGGATAATGAGAAAGTTTCTCTGGAATGATTTTGCTCTCTAACTTTCTCAGGCTCTCTAACTTGGCTTTTCTGCCTAATAAGAACTGACTGGTTATAATGAAAAGAAGAAAAGTGCTAAAGCAGATGCACCTGTTTTCTTCTCTTGTGGTTTTTTGTTTGGTTTTTTTTCTGTTTGGTTGTTTGATTGGTTGGTTGGTTGGTTTGATTTGGGTTTTTTGACAAAATTTTCAAAGTTTTCCAAATAGCATCTTAAAATTAAGGTCTGATGATCTCAGCCATGGGGCCTGAACCAATACTCTTTAAAGTCTGTGGGAGATTTGGGCAGTGGCTGACCTTTTCCAGCCTATGATTTTATCTGATTCTGAGTTTTAGAAATTAGTATTTTCTTTTAAGCATTCATTTTAAATTCCATCTTATTTCTATACATAATGAAATATATAATAATCATTGTTTCTTCTCTTGAGAAAAAGTCAGGCTTACTTAATAGAAGAGAATAAAAGGCCTCAGCCTTGACTAAATAATGATAACTATCTCCTTCTTTGGAGACATTCAAAACCCGCCTGGACACGTTCCTGTGTAACCTTATCTAGGTGTTCCTGCTCCGGCAGGGGGATTGGACTAGATGATCTTTTGAGGTCCCTTCCAATCTCTAACATACTGTGTGATACTGTGTGAAATGCATAACTGAGCTGCATGGAGAGCAAACCAAGACCAATTTGCATCTCACAGTTTGGGCTCTCCTTTGCATTTATTTGAGGGAAGAAGAAAATATTCTTAGCTTATTTTTTCAAACATAGGGGAACTTGTTGTATGTCAAATCAATTGATAACTCTGCCTTAATACTGAAGACCTACTCCACTCAAAATTGATGTAAAAATGTTTTTCATGAAACCGCTAAAATAAAACCAGTTATTTGTGTTTCTCCAAAGCGGAAATTTTGCTCTCTGAATTTAATGGGTGTTAAAAACCATGGTATCAAAAAAGGCTGAGCCCAAGGGAAACATTAGGAATGCTACTATCTGTGTACTTCAATAATTTGAGACAAATGAAGAATCCCTAAAACCTCAACAGGGAGCTTAGCCTTGCAACCATGCTTAGTTAGGCAATCATTTTCTTGGTGCTTCACTGAACCGAAACCTTAAATTTATATTGAACTAAGCAGAACAGCTAAAATCCAGAAGTCTCCTATCATTCCTATCATGCAATGGGGCTGAATACTGACTGATGGCATGATAGCAATGGAAGAGATCTGTATCCCATGCAGCAGGGTTACTATGTAGAGGCTATTTAACCAGTTAGAATCGGTAGCATTCCTGGAATTGATATTTCATTGCAAAACAGGCCAAACCTTACAACTGTCTTTATTTATTTATTTTATTTACAGTATTTAAATGTAATGAAAATAATCAACTTTTAAAAATAAGTCAATGTGTTAGGATTTGCTTCTATTTATTTAATGCAAACATTTTCTATTGTATTCTTAATGATGTTGGAATAGATAATTCACATTGTTTGAAATCAGAAGTATTTGAACTGCTAAGACATCATTGGGAGCTGCCTATTTTACTCTAGACTCGTTTGACAATTGTGTAACTGTATGCACTATAGATTACTTTTTACTGTAATGAAAATCTGAATTTTACTGAATGCTGAACGCACCTTACATGGTAGGAATCTATTTAGTACATAATGTTTTCAAGGCCCATTTTCAGGGAAAAATAACAGGCATGACATATTGCACATTAGTGCAAAGGAAGATAATATTCATTTAAGTTTCTCCTCATAGTTGTAATGCATGTTTTGCCACGTTTTGTCATGGCAAAACATCATAAAATCTTGCAGAATAAATACTAGATCTAAGATGGTCAACAGTTCTACTATTTTTGAAATAGCACTCAGTGACATGGGCCAACCTGAAAGTACTGAAAGTAAATAAGCATTGGTTCTCTGCATGCCAGGATTGTGGGAAATGATCTAGTACCTTCTAAAACTTAATAATTTGAGCATGCAGCTGTGAAACCATCAGTAAAGACAGACACGGGTCAAAGCTGCTCACAGTGGTAGGATTACAGATTTTGCTATGTGGTCAAAGATGTAAAACCTAAGTGAACAGGTTGATTAAGCTGTTTTATTTTGGGTATTTTTCTTTAGTTGGTGTAAGTAGATCAAAATAATAATTTGGAATGATCATTTGCACTGCTCAGTTGTGATTAAATCACTCAGATGTTAAGTTTCATATTTGTATAGATCTGATTTTAGTTGTACATGCAGTGTGTTAAACTGTTGGTATCTTAATTTTCAAGTAAACATTGTAAAGAACCTTTATTATTCAAATAGCTTTGTTGTCCCTTCTACATTTCCATATGTTATTTTATGCTTTCTCCCCTAAGGTTAACCACATAAGAAGAGACATCAGTTCTGTGCTTTTCAGTTATCTTTTCTGTGTGTTTTTCTTGCATGTCTTTGCCTGTTCTTGCTTTGTTGGCTCTACAGTTGAGGTGTGCTAACAGAATTAGGAATCTCATCATCTTTAATCCTAGTCACATGAGCAGACCCATTGACCTGAGTAAGGATTAATTGCATGCATCAGAACAGCAGTGTAAGACCCTGCATTAGGGACTGTTCTGTTCATTGCTGGACACTAGGTGAACATTAGTCCAATTAGCTTAAATAAGAATATAGGCACTCAGCAGTTCACCGTATGGAGGGCAACATTCAATGACATGGTGCTCTATGCAGCAGGTTATTCTTACAACAATCAGCAATGCCTGGGTTAGCTCAGAATAATAACTTCTTAATTTTGAGTGAAAGATCATTCTCCACCATAAATACAGTTAAAAGCTCTGTCTAGAATGTGTCGATTTTCTCCACGAACAATATCCATAATAGTATTTCTTTCAGGATAATGCAGGTGATGACAAGCTTTATGATAATAAAAGGCAACAAAATATTTTTCTAACGTATGACTCTAAGATAACCTTGGTGGGCATGGAAAGTTGCCTTGAAAAATGCTAGTTGGAAGTAAAATTGAAAATACGGGAGATATTTTACTTCACTTTTATGTATTTCTATAATGGAGATTTTATGTGTTTTCTTAAGTTTTCCAAACACACATGTTCAGAGAAGCTGTACAATAATGATGAGACACTGGAAGAAATAAAACAAACAAAAAAAAAGGAATGGAAAATATGGAGGAAATATTTTATAATGCTGAATTAGAATGGTGTGGTGACACAATACATTTGCAAAATTTAGTATTCTTTCAGGATATTAATTTCCCTTTTCGATGGTATTTATCTTTCTTAAAATTTCAGTATCCTATGTTGTAGAAGACATGTCAGTGTGGGCCTCGTCTACATGAGTTTTGAACACTTCCAGGGATGGTGATTCCACCACTGCTCTGGGCAGCCTGTTCCAATGTCTGACCACCCTCTTGGTGAAGAAATTTTCTCTACTATCCAATTTAAACCTTGCCTGGCACAGCTTGAGGCTGTTTCTTCTTATCCTAGTGATCCAGCCAGTCCAGATCCCTCTGTAGAGCCTTCCCACCCTCCAACACTCCCACCGAACCTGGTGTTATCTGCAAATTTACTGAAGGTGCACTTGATCTTCTCATCCAGATCACCAATAAAGATATTAAACAAGACTTGCCCAGCTACTAGGCCCTGGGGAACACTACTAGTGACTGGTCGCCAACTAGATGTGACATCATTCATCAACACTCTTTGGGCTTGGACAAAAGAAGAATGATGTCATATGCCAAACCCTTCTTATTCATTTCCTGTCTGCAGGTACAAAATCCTACTTTTGTCCACATTGCCCTAGATACCTTTACACCAAAATTTGTTCTCATTGACTTCCATTGTATCTCTTCTTGTTTTTTCTCAATATTCTATTTCACCCATATTCTACAATACTATATAATAATTAATTTTTGCTTTATTTCTCAAGTTAATAGAAACATCATTAGAATGATTTGTGCATGAGAGCCTGTTGGTTCCATACGAACTAGGCAAAAAGCGTTCATCATTGATTTACCTCTTATTTACCTCATTCAAGTACATTTTACCCAAGCGCCTCCTATTTTTTGCCTTTTTTCTAGAAAAATACTCCAAATCTCTTTATAAAGCTCCCACCATTACCTTATTTGAATAATTTCTGAACACCCATTTCTGCAGTACTGTTGCCAAAGAATGTATTTTATGCCAAACACATGCAAAAAAAGTGATGCATTATCAAAAATGCCTGTCTTTATAGTATTTCTTACTTGCTGCCTCAGCTGGTAGGTATCTTATTTTCATTTGTTTATAGTTTCTTCTATATATTTTCCAGAAAAGACTGATCTTCAAAAATATTTTTGCAAAATGTGCAGAACAAACAAACAAGGCAACCATTTACAGGGGCTGTAACAGTACTCTAAAGCATTTTACAAAAGTAATTAAAACATGATTTATATGGCTGCAATGAATCAGCTTCCATTAGAACAGAATTCAGTAATTATCTGGCAATATCCAATTCATTGTAAGAAGAGCATATTCAAATGAAACACTTAGAAAGGAATAGATAAGTGAAATGAATCTACAACAGGTATTGTGTTAGGACTCAGTGATCAACATCTTTTTCCCATGAAAAGTGCTGGAGGACATTTAATGAACACACTGAATCAGGATCTTGCTTTTTCAGATCATGAAAAGACAGCAAACACCAGTGAATAATATTTTTGATTCTCAAGGAAGGTTACTGTCTAAGCAATAAAGAACATCACTTATGACATAGATAAGCATATTCAGGAATTCCAAACCCCATGTAATGATCTTTTGCATTATTTTGGACTCTTCTATAAACAACCAGTGACACCAAAGTGTTATATAGGCTTTCACCAATCTTTTTAAAATGAATATTGGGTAAACTATTCTCACCATTATGTTAAAGATACCTCCCTGCAGGAAGGATGCTCTTCATCTGTGAGAAAGGCTAATAAAGTAACAAAAGCTTTAAAAATTACTTGAACTGACAACTGAAAATGCAAGTGACAAGAAATTCATAATAAAAAATAGTTCAGCTATCATGGGCTGTATATGAACAAGCATTTCTGCCTTTTTCAGGAGAAATCAAGTCA